AGTGGAGAGAGGCGAGACTGAAGTTCTCACAATGGGAACAAATAGCTCCCGTGAGCGTAGCTTCCGCATGGGATTTCCCCAAGCAGGAAACGCACTCCATGTGGCCATCATTGGCGTGCAGGGGAGACCCGCACAAACCGCAGTATTAACCATGGCATTTGCAACAACGCCAAGCTCTTTTAGTAGCTCTTTTAGTATTGCCGGATGGTGGCAGGGAAAATGGACCGGAACTGCTGCGTCGCTGAAGCGGCGGAGAAGCAGGTCAGCCGTGCTGAGAGGTCCCGATTCCAGCTGCAAATGCGTGTCAACGGCGAGTGGCTTCGGATCAGCGTAGAGACGTAGAGTCGTCGCTGAAGGAGAAGAAATCTGAGAATCCTGTGGCGAACGTCCGCTTATATAGCCAGATGCCCTGCCCATTCTGGCGGGCTTTGGCAGGCTTTGGCGGGCTTCGTCGCCATAGGCTCGTGCAGCTCCGCTGCCTAGCCATTGGTTCGTTTTTAATACACTGCTCGAACCAATGGCCGTGCAGTTTCACTGCGTGAATGAAAAAAGTCTTCAGTTCAGGAGAAAAAAGACTTTTTCCCATATGCGTCTAGCAAGATGCAGTACGAGTGTAGTATCGAAAGGGAACTCTTCCAGCACCGTTTAAGAAATGCATGTTATTAATGCATCAAATCATGAGGTGTATTGAGAAGAGGTATGCTATTACATTGCTAAGCATTCGATCTTGTGGTTTTTGCATCACTAGAGATGAGAATATCAGAGAGCCAAGAACAGAACACCATAGCAACCACATAGAAACATCACAACAGCATCTTAGCAATATGGTAGTAAGCTTTATATTGACAAGCACCATTTCTATTGAAATTAATGTTTCATGTTAGTCCATGTCTTTTATTATGACAACATTCCTGTTCACAATTATTATTATTTTTAATTGTATTATTTTTATTTAATTTTAATCTATATTTTATTTATCATTATATTCATATTACTCATTTTATTTTTATTTATTAAAAAAATATATTTATTTTAATTACATTTTAATCTGTCATTGCTGATCACTTTTGGGGAAATGTAACGAGTTACAATATTGTGTATTTCAATTATTTATATGGAAATTAACTTACTTTTTTTCTCTCATGTCAACTGGCTCTCTTCTCCAGAGTGGGAGTGTGGTACTTGGCTTGCTGTCAATTTTTATATTAGAAATGCTATTTTTTGCTGTGAACAAGTGATTTGTGCCAAATTAGTTTGCATACTTTTTTTTATTGCAGATCGCAGGAGACATTGTTTCACACACCTCAGGTGTGTGTGTGTGTGTGTGTCTTTGCAGAGACGTCCTCAGCCTCACCCATCAGCACTCTCTAGTGCACTACATGCATCAGAGTGGAGCACTTTAAAAAAATATATTTATTTTAATTACATTTTAATCTGTCATTGCTGATCACTTTTGGGGAAATGTAACGAGTTACAATATTGTGTATTTCAATTATTTATATGGAAATTAACTTACTTTTTTTCTCTCATGTCAACTGGCTCTCTTCTCCAGAGTGGGAGTGTGGTACTTGGCTTGCTGTCAATTTTTATATTAGAAATGCTATTTTTTGCTGTGAACAAGTGATTTGTGCCAAATTAGTTTGCATACTTTTTTTTATTGCAGATCGCAGGAGACATTGTTTCACACACCTCAGGTGTGTGTGTGTGTGTGTCTTTTATGCATCCAAATGTTACACAAATGTCTTTTTTTGTGGTTTTAATTTAAATAGATTTATGGCATCTGTACCTGTGGGGTCAAGGCTGGAAAAATGGCTACTTTGAGTCTCAAATTCAGTTATTTTTTCCACTAAAAATAATTATACAATACAAATGGATTCAACTCACTCAGATGTAGTTTATTTTACCAGCTGTATTTTGCCAATTTAAAAACACACTTATTTGGTCAGGTGATTATTGCTTGCAGCACGTTACCCCTTTTGTAATTTTCAGCTTCATTACATAATTTGTCTGCTTTCATCATCATAAACTTTGTTGTTTTATTTACTTGTATATGTGTATTGAGTGTTCGGCAGGCAACCGAGACCTCTTTCTTTCTCAGAGCTCTAAATGTGTCAGAGCAAGTCTTACTGCAGTGGCAGGATCTGTAGAGCTGATTGGAGAAGCGATTACAGCCACTGCAGAGACGTCCTCAGCCTCACCCATCAGCACTCTCTAGTGCACTACATGCATCAGAGTGGAGCACCAGACCTCCACGCACTGCTTGTATCTGTTCACATTATATTTAGTGGTGCTTGCTGAGAATCACAATGAAATAGAAGTAGCGACAAATCTATTCTTACATACCGTGACTTACAATCCAAGGAAATAAAGTAATATAAACTGAGATTTGTTTTTTCATCAGTTTTTGAATAGATGGAGGAATATCTGAATAAAAGCTTGAGGTTGATTGTAAGAAAGGGGTGGAGTTTAAGCGAATAAAAAAAACACTATTAAAGTTTTTTTTTTTAGTTTTGTTTGAGTGAAGAATAGTAAGGTATTTTTTTTACAAGAAAATACAGTTTCAGTCTTTGTACTTCAAAATGTCACATTTAATTCAATGTGTAATTTTTCTTTGTAAAAGTGAAACTTTTAAAATTGTTTGAGTAAAAGGTGTAGTTTCAGTTCAGTTTTGTATTTAGCAGGTCTAAATGTGAGTTTATGGCCAATTTTTAGCAATTTTGTTGTGTGCTTTTGTCTTTTTTTATTCATATGTATTACTACTATTTAGGTTTTATTTTATTTTGTTTGCGCCACCAGAGAGAAGTCTGTCGTTTCATTGGAAGATTGTGCTATAAAATTTTGACATAAATATGTGGTCAAGAGAAATGTTAAACAATGAGATTAAAACAATGCACAATAAGAAAACATTTAGAAAATAAGGTAAATTTTCATTTCATGTTGAGTTTTCAACTGTTAGACCAGATGTGCGCAAAGTTTAAGACAAAGAGGCAAACTTATTGTACTTGAGGGTCGTGGGCCAAAAATAAATACTGCATTATATTATATTAAATGTATTATATTTTAAACCAATTGAAATAACAGTTTTTTAAATGTTTAAATTTTAATAAGTTTAAATGCAAAAATAAAACTAAAAATATTAAAACAAAAATATAAATTAGAAATTATATGCTTTAATGCCATATTTTCGCCTATTTTTGTCCCCTTCATGGTTTGCCTGGTTGGGCCAAAAAATTTAAATAAAATAAAAAAACTTATTGCAAAGAGGACAGAAGGCTCAGATCTCGAGACCAGACCTTCTAAAAGCTCTTTTCATTTGAGGCAATGTAGAAATGTCCTGTTTTGGGGGCCCCTGGGGGCCCTTAACATGATTCAGCACTAAAATATCATAGCGACCTGGTGTAGGTTTTTTTTGACGACTAAAGTTATGACTTCAAGTTTTGCACTAGCAAGCTCTTTTCCCAATATCCTCAAATGTAAAAATCTAGTTTTAACATGACGACTTGCGTTCATCTTTTTGTTAGCGTCAGCGGCGCAGCGGCTGGGATATGAGCAGTGATATCCTGGGCATATTGGAACCACATCCAGCTGGCTTGAAAATGAAATTATTCGCTGATGCGCCGACAAGCGCAGCATCGTTTTATTGCCTTCGCAAGTCTCAAGTTGTTGGCGGGTACGACACGGAAAAACTCTCTCCCTGTCACCCTCCAGTCATGCGCGACTCCTCTAATGAGGCCAGCAGGCCGACGAGTGGGCCGAAGCCACTGAAACCTCCAGTTCTAACATATTGATTGGTGTGAGGAGAGCGTATCTGGCTCCGACGTCTGACTTCTCACCTCGTCCCAGACTGAGATTCAGTCCTTGTAGACATGGCTGCTAGACACACATTCGCACCCACATACTCAACTCCCGGCTCTATTCACAGAGGAAGACTAGAGCCAATGTGTGTTTGCAGTGCACTCGCAAGCCTGCTAACAGTTTGTGGAATATAGAAAATAGAAATGCTGTGACCGTGAAAATGAATGAAGATTTATCTCATCTTGTAGTCTCTATAAGGAGCATGTTTTACACAGTTTAGCTAATTAGTGGTGCTTGCAAAAGGAAGCATCACGATTACTATTGCTCATACTTAAAGGAATATTCAGGGTACAATATACGCTAAGCTTAATCGACCGAAAATGTAGCATAATGTTGATTACCACAGAAATAATTAAGATGCATCCCTCATTTTCTTAGAAAGAAAGAAAAAATTACTGTCCACTGAGACAACGTACAATGGAAGTGAATGGGGCCAGTGTTTGGAGGATTATGTATAAATGTAAAGCTTACAATTTTATAAAAAGCCCTTTATTTACATTCATTTTCCTGGCTTTAAATCTGTTTAAATTGTTGTTACTGTAAATCATTTTTACAGTTGTTTTAGCTTTTGGAATTAGCTTTTGTTTTTATATTTTTACTTCCTTTATTTTAATTTTTTTTTTAAGTTTAGTTTTAGGTTTATTTATTTACAGTTAGTAATTTTAGTGCTTCAACTTAAACCTCTAATTTCTCATCTCTAATTTTTGTTTAGTTTTTCCATCTAATTTTATATATTAATATATAATATTTCATTTAATCTTTATTTCAATAATTTAAGTTTCCTTTTTTTAAGTTTTAGTTAATGATAATAAACTTGCTTTTAATTGTTTTTCATGTTTTTTTTTCAATTATATTTTAACATTTACAGTTTTACCTCATTCACTTGCCATACTTTATTTTATTTTACTTTATTTGACTTTACTTTATTGAAGGACAAGTGGAATATCAATATTATTTCTCAAATTTGGTTGAGCTTAACTTGCGTTAAACCCTGAATAAGGTTTGTTTAAAGTTAATGGTTCATTGTTGGTTTTGTACAGTATTGCCGTTGTTTTGCTGTTTTTGAAGGGAGAATTTAATTTGCTTTCTTTTACCTGCAGAGTTGTTTCATTTATCAACCAGTGTCTCCTACTTCCTTTGTGCAGATTTCCTTGCTGAAACAGAGCCTGGAGATGCAGCTTTCCCAATCCCAGCATTCCCTGCAGCAGCTGCAGGCACAGTTCAGTCAGGAGCGAGAGCACCTGGGACAGCAGCTGCAGGAAATGGAGCTGGAGCATCAGCGCAGGGAGCAGCGGCTGCAGGAAGCCCACTGCTGCGCTATACAGGACATGCAGGAAGCCCGCCAGCACGACCTCAAGGTAACCACAACAAAACATAATCTCCCACCTGTCTCACGCAGAGAGACCGCACTGACCTGTATGCACGCTCTTATCTTTTCTTTTCACCTCCTAGCTCTCTGTTATTTGAGTTTTTATGACTGTGTTCCACATCCAGCTGACACAGAACAGCATACACCATTTACGTTAAGTGGATACTCTCCTAAATGATGAACGAAGGTCTTACGGGTTTGGAACAACACAAGGGTGAATAATTAATGGGTGAACTATCCCTTTAACAAACCATTAACTACGACTTTTGTCTCAATAAACTCCTTTAAAATTAATAGTCAGTAAGGTATTTGTTAAGTTTAGGTATTGGGTAGGATTAGGGATGTAGAATATGGTCATGCAAAATATGTGCTTTATAAGTACTAATAAGCAGCTAATATGTTAATAATAGGCATGCTAATAAGCAAGTTAATAGTGAGAATACTAAAGTGTTAATATTAATAATATTATTAGGTTCTTGTATTGTTATTTTTCATTATTTATTCCCATTTTATATATATATATATATATATATGTGGTGAGGCAGATCTGCCACAGATCCAGCCCTGCCCACAAGCTCATCTCTCAGGTCCTTCTCCTCCCTCTATCCTGGAATAACCTGCGCGCTCTCGGCTCTCCTGTCTGTGGGTTAGTAATGGCTGAGCGCTTGCTGTCACAGGCTGTAATGTCTGCTCTATCCAGTACCTGGCCCCTGACGACTCCAGCGGAGAGAAACTCTCACTCCGACTAGAAATGATTGCCTTGAGCTCGGCTGAAGTGGCTCCACACCGCAGGCCTGGAGATGGAGGCTGCGAGCAGGGATGGCGGGAGGAGACCGCTTGAATAACTGCTGATAAGTTGAGATTGACTCAACAAATGCAGCGTCAGTCAGAATCACAGGCTTCAGTTCACTGTTTTAAAAAGTAGTGGAAGCAGTCGGGCTGCACAGGCTTGGTGTGATTGCACTAAATGGAAAAGGCTTAGCTCATGAATATTAATTAGGTCATGGACACATCTTTTAATATGACCTGTTACTGATTTTTGATTATAATTAGTGAAGAGTAACAAAAATGAGTTTTCAGCTTTTACAGACCCAGGGACCCATTCATAAGATTCATAGATAGATAGATAGATAGATAGATAGATAGATAGATATATAGATGGGTAGATGGATGGATGGATGGATGGATGGATAGTTTTAATTATAACATTTACATTGTTACATTTACAGTATATACATACATTTGAAATGCAATATTAATCTGTTCAAATATTATGTATTTGTCTTTTCATGCAATATATGTAATATAAATGAAAATATATAAATATGAAATGCTTAAAACAAAAATTAGCTGAAGTTGAAGCATTTTATTATATCACTAATTTAAAAAAAACGGAACTAAACTAAAACTAAAATGAATATTTGTTTTAAAAATTACAAAAGCATATAGAAAAATGACTGGAAATTATCTAAAAAAAAAAGAAGAAAAGAAAAAGAAAACTGAAAATATAAAAATAAAAGCTCATTCAAAATATGACTAAATACTAATAATAAATAAATTATAGTATGTAAATAATACTAAAATAACACTGATGACAACCGATGGCGGTAAGCAGCAGACCCTAAAATAGCTGTAAAAAAATAAAAAAAAAAAAAATAAAAAAAAATATATATATATATATATATATATATATATATATATATATATACAATGTGTGTGTGTGTGTGTAATGAATAAAAATTGTGTAAATTCTTAACAATATTAACTATAATAAAATATATGATTACATATAATAGTAAAATATAATATATATTATAATACATTTTATAACAAATAAAAATAATAGTATTACATAAATTATATACAGTATGTATAACAGATGTATGATAATACAGAAGTATTTATTTGTTTGTTTGTTTAAAAAGAAAATTGTTATATTATATTATTATTATACTATAAATAACCAAAATGTGCAATCTCATCGCATCCACCATAACTGACGGCTGTGGTCAGAATTCTTGGGCATTTATTTGCTGGTTGAAATGGGCTCTAAAGTCGCAATGCCAGTGACTCGATTAACTGTTTATGTCAGCAAACTGCTGTCTAATGGATTTCATTGCTTCATGTCACAGCTGGTTTCTGGACACATTATGTGTGAAAACTACAACTGACCTCTATTACTGATATGCCCCACTGTCCAGGACAGGACCACACAGTATGAGTCTCGGCCACCAGCTGTCAATGGATGGAGAATGGAGGGAATTGGTTTATCTGCCAGTGATGCCATTAGGAAACATACACACAGAGGTTAACTGTTTTTGTTAACCCAGTTTGCCACAGAGACCTGCTGTTTTGTACTCTTATCTAATATCAAACTGCTAACCAGAATCCTAAATCAAAAAGCCTAACCTGATGTTTCAGTTATCCATATTGGCTTTGTGTTTGTAATTGATTTGTATCTTTTGCTATTTACTAATTTGTGTTTAAGCTGATAATTTTTTACTAGCACACTTATTACATGAACCCCCTTGAGCAACCTGATCTTAGTATAGTGAACCCTTGTGATGCTTCAACCTACAGCCTTTTGGTATAATACAAGATCTTTTACCATTGGGCTTATTTAGGGATTAGAATATTAATAAATATTTAATACTTTGCGGTTTTACCACTTTAATTATGAACAGATTATTTCCCCAAATTATTTCAAACTAAATAACTAAAGAAATATTTAAAGAAACTGTTAACTATACAATTAAATAGTTAATGAAAACATAAAAAACATTAAATGAATGAATGAATGAATTATTAAAACACCTAAATGATTTATTAAATGAACTATTATTAAATCACCTAAAAAAATTATGAATTGTATTTCATTTCAGCATTAGTTTAACTTTGAGTCATTCTTATCATTACATTTAAAAATTAAAATGTAAAAATAATGCTAAAATTAAATGCAATGGACATATAATAATTTGTTTGTATTTCATTTTAGCTTGAGTTTAATTCCATTAGTCAATTTTGTCATCGTAAAAAATTTAAAATGTAATGCTAAAATGAAATGCAACAGATATTTATGAATAAATTTACAAATTTGTTATGTTTTGTTAAATGTTTTTTGTTAACAGTTTTGTATTTCACATTTTATTTAATTATTTAATTTTAGTCGTTTGGCATATTTAATTAGATCTGTGAGCTAATTGGCTAAAAATCACTCATTTGACACAACATGGTTGACCCAGGATTTATCAGGTAAAATTAATGCGTGTGATTTCATATTTGGTTCTCATAATAATAATAATAATTGAATTTTCCCAGTCATCAGCGAATAATAAATCTGCATGTTTATCTCTAATTAATCTATGATATCTATTTTTCTATCTATATCTATTGTCAGTTCATTGTCAGAGAGTCATCATGGCGTGTTGGCTGTGGTTATAGACATATGAATAATTACCATATAATTGGTGCATAGTGGATATAAAAAAATCAGACACAGTAGTAATTTGTGCATGTTGATGAGTTTCCCAGCAGCACAGGCAGATGTGATAGAGCAAGTATAATTGCGGTATATGAGTTTTACCCAGTTGCCATGCCATTAAAATAAGCCTCTTCATGTCCTTGCTTCATTCATGTAATGAGTGGAGATCCAACAGAAGGCTTATGAAATCTCATTTAATAGCTTTCTGCTCCAGAGCACCACGCCTGAGGTAGACGTGCCGACACCAGGAGCCGATTTATTGACTTGTGTTTAATTATCATCAGCGGTTCAGTGTGATAATATCTCACACCAACCGCATCACCATCTCTCTCTGCTCACCAACGTCTCAATATTGAGCATTGCTCTTTTGAAGTCAGGCGGAGGAACGCTCCTCTGCTGCTAATGGGCTCAGCAGCACTGCAGAGGAGTGCTCAGAGACGATGAGCGTGCAGTTCCTCCGTCTGATATCCCGCTCTAACAGGCAAAAAGATCCAGCTCAGCTCCCTCCTGTAGCTTTTTGCTGATATCAAGCACTGCTTTTTACCCGGCCGGAAAGAACAGGCCAAAATCCTGCAGCTGCCACAGTAGGTAAAAACGCTTGTGTGTGCCCATCCCCGACCTGATGAGTCTCTGTGGCTAAAGGAGAAGAAATCTGAAGATACTTGGAAATTTCAGAGCTGCCTTTCACTGCCCTCTGTTTGCTCTTTTCGGATGTGACTCATCTATAGAAGCCCATTTCTGAGACGGAATAAAAAATAAATAAAAAGGTCATTGTGATGTTTTCATTTCACAAATTTGGGCTTTTTTCCTCGCAATATTAAAGTCCCCCTGTAGTGAAAATCAAGTTTTTTTATTTTGTTTATTTGTCTATGTGGTGTTTTTAATATGCTTTTAGGCGAACCATGTGCCAATCTATTAATCAACACCATTGCTGTGTATTTTCTCCTTAAAACTGTAGTTTCCCAAAGGCAGTCCCAGAAATGTGGTTTGAAACAGCCCTCGGTTTGCGTCACAAACCAATAACCAATCACGTCAAGGGATCGATTCCAATCACTAGCATGCAAAATATACCAATACCAGCACAAAACCAAATTAGAGCAAAAAAAACCATGAAGCTGTGGTTTAATGTGAATTTAGAACCGCTAACTTGCATTAAAACCCGTGGCCATAGACGTAATCTGTGGGTGGGACAGGTGGGACATGTCCCCACCACTTTTTGCCAGGGTCGATATTGTCCCTACCACTTTTTGAAAGTAATTGAAAAATATATTGCGGAAGGTAGGCTATGTATTAAAGGGAAAACAAGATCAACAAATCATTCTTCATAATCTAATTAGGGTGATAAAAAAATGTTTTGACTCCATATGCATGCATAACTCGTGCAGTGCAATAACGATGTGATTTGCAGCTGTCGCACTTTTCGTAATGTCATTAGGCTGTAGCATTTTATTTTAAAAATGGAGAGCTTCCTTGTGCTAAGTATAGGCCTGCCCTCTACTAAAGATTTT